TCAGGCCTGTAATAGTGAGGCTTTGCATGTTTTTAGCAAAGAAAATGTGTTGAAGAAAATTTAAAAAAAAAGGTAAGAGTTGGTATGATTTGAAAATTTCCAAAAAACACAGAAATTGCCCTGTAAAAAACCAGATATTTGGGCAGCTCGAAACCCGGAGTTGTGAGAAGCGCCGCATTGAGGTTACGTCGCTTCACATCACTTGTGCTTGCAGTATGCAGTAGGACTTCAAAAAGTAGACTGATATCTCCAGAAATGGTCTATTTTTAGGAGTTTTTGTTAGTCATGTGCCAGAAAGTCGTTAGTCGCAGAGTTCTACAGTCGCTCCAAATACAGCACATATAAGAGTTTTGAGAGCAAACCGCCTCCTTTCCCCCATTCCCCTCTCTCTCCCTGCGGAGAACTTGGGATTGAGAAAAACATTACCTGATCAAGGTGAATTGTGTCAAAATAATACATTTCATCGCCAATTTCATATGTGACATCTCCTGAGCCAAATCTTCCCTAAATCTGCCTGTGTGTTCAGGGTATTTCAAGAAAAAGAGCATTACTGCTTACCTTACGAGTGAATTTCCTCGTCTCTCCTCTCTTTGGACAATTAGAGTCTGATTCTTCCGAAACGCTGTTGCACGCATCATCATAAACATCATAAAAACTGTATTGTCTGCCAGACCTTTGAAACCTGAAATCCAAGGTAGGCGTTAGTTTATGGAATGAACTTGTCACATTCTCCAATCTTAACCTTTCTAAAGCTCCCGCATCATGTGAAGACTGCGGACGGATCTCTTTTCGCACGAGGCGTTGCTTAGCGAGAAATTCATAAGGTTCATTTGCGCTCATCGAGTCGTGAACAGACCAGCGTCCAGATGGATATTGTCTGCAATATCGAAAATTTGTACAAGTGACAAGAAAGGGTGGGTAGAGATGAATACCGGGGGCTAGGCATCGACGATGGACCTGATTTAACTTTGGAATTTAAACGTTCGCCATTTCCCCAAGAGTCAGTTTTTGATCGGCTGTCGGGACGGGCATGACGGCTAAGCCGCAATCTACAAAGCATACCAATGGAAAGTTGACGAAAAACATTGTTATATCTGCTACAGTAGCAGGCGCAAAAATATTTCTTAGGGGGGACGCAGCAGAAAAGCCAGTGAGGGGCGTGGCATAAGCACGGCTACATCACGCCCATTCTTGGCCGATAGCATGAAAATTCCCGAGCAAAGTTTTTTTCCAATTGGAAAGCTGTAGATAATTTTTAGTGACAATCAGTGC